AAAAAAATAGTAATTAAATCATCAAGGAAATATTTATAAAATTGACATAGATGAACAGTGCTTACTCCTGTAGGAAGTCAGAATATTTCATTAGATCAATAAACTGAAGGTAATATTTATAGCAGATATAATTTATTATTCTGATAAATACATAAAGAGTAGTAATTACTGATTTTTAAAACTAGACACCAGCTGGCATGTGCTTCTACACAAAGAAGTAACTCTGCCTATGATGGAAAAGGGTGTGTAAGGGGTTTGTTGTATCTTAATTGATACTTAATACCAGTTTATATACATACTGTGTTCACAGTTAAGAGAAATTTTTAAAACATGCATAATGTGGAAAAAAGTAATGGAAGGAAGTATCCCAAAACATTAGGTGTGGTTTTCTGCAGAGAGGTTATGGGTAATTTTGTTTTTCCTTGTTTTTCAAAATCTTCATAATCAGATTTTCTTTTACAGTGAGTGGAAAAAAAGTATATTAAGTAAAAGCTGCTGGTCTCAAGATTAATCTAGTGATTAGTCTTTTGGATGGATGTTGGAAAGAGAATGAAATACATAAAACGTCATGTTTTGTTGTTTTACTTAAAATTTAATCTATTAATGATCTTTCATTTTTGTTTTTCTTTTAGGAAGCAATCATACAAATAATGAAGATGAGAAAGAAAATTAGTAATGCTCAGCTGCAGACTGAATTAGTAGAAATTTTGAAAAACATGTTTTTGCCACAAAAGAAAATGATAAAGGAGCAAATAGAGTGGCTAATAGAGCACAAATACATCCGAAGAGACGAGTCTGACATCAACACTTTCATATACATGGCATAATCTTGAACATCATGGACAACATTAAGAACCCAAATTTCAGAGTGCATGGGCAGAAAGTTGTAACAGTTTGTGCTGGAGGAAGGTTTATTTGGACTTTGATTACATAAATATTAAAATCTCTGCCTTACCTGACAAAACAACTCTATCTTGCCAATCACATTAGTTAGCATGATGGCATTCCCTTCATGTTGCACACTCTGTAACAGCATGCTGTTTTGTGGAGAAACTTGCATTCATGAAGAGCCCATGATGAACTTGTAAAAGTGAATTTGATTTCTATCCACCAGAAGAAATAGTCGGGAAGGGTGAGGGCGGGGTTCTTGTTGCTTTTTTTTTTTTCTCCTCTCTTTTTTTCCTCTCTCACGAAAATGTACTTGCACAAGGAAGGATCTTCAGATATTCGTGCACTGAATAATGCTGTTATGTTTTGTTTTTTTTAAAATGCAATTAAAACTAGAAATAGCACTCTTGGTTTCTTTTGATCAAAAGAGGGAGCTGGTCTGCACAACATTGGGGGAGGGCAGATATAGGTGAGAAGATACGTATTTAATAATATAACACTATTTGTTCACGCCCTGCTTCAGTATAGTAACTGGATTTAATGGTGACCTGAAAATGATATTAAATTTTTCCAACTTACAGACGTTGGCTTTCTTTAAGCAGGAGACTGCTACTTTAGATGTTTGTGTTAAATAAGGAGTTTTTAAATTTTATATGGCTGGAGAGCTTGTTTTGAAAAACTGAAGCTTATATTAATTTGTTGCTCCAATTGTTTAAAAAAAATGTATGGAGAGAAGTCGGTCATTTCAACTGCAGAGTCAGAATAGCAAAACAAAGATATTAAGTGTGTTCACTAACACACTTAATGTTTGTATACCTAATATTTATTATGCCAAATTTGGTTATCTCCGAATTTATTAAAAACAAGGCAGAAATCTCCTCTCACATAATACAGTTATGTAACTATTTCTTGATCTGCAGCATAGAAATATTTTGGAATTTTAAAGTCTCATGGTTAGGGATTTATAGCCTCAGGTTTCTGGAAAGGAAGACATTCTGTTTTAAAAAGGAGTGTCCGTTACGTAGGGGGAGGAGAAAAACCACAACATAAGACCTGAAAAGCATGAGCAAAATTGTTGCAGTCTTAATATGAGCAGTAAACTTGCCAAATATATGTACATATATATTTATATATTTTAAAAATAAACATTTTTAAAATGTTCAGAAGACAACACTTACCTTGTTCCTTTCAGTCAATCCAAAGTAGCAACTTACTAGTTGCCAGCCACTGAATACCCAGAGTGACGCAGAGTTCAGGACTTGAGGACACGGGCAGCTTAGCGGAGAAAAGTGTATTCCCCGTTGGCAAAGAGTGACTCTACGTGGATTTTTATTCATTATGCTGCACGTTCCAAGTTTTTTTGCAAATGCTTTTCTATCTTGTTTGATACTAAGTAATACTTTAAACCTATGATTTGGGAAATAGTAGGAAGTGGAGTGCTGAGCTTTGAAAGGTGCATGGTAGACAGTATTATGCAAGGTGCTTTCAGGACTGTTCCATGGAATCTGTCCCCAGTCCCAAGAGGCGTTGTGAGCTGCCTGCTGAAAGGAAGGAGAGCAAATTCAAAACATGGAAGGTGTCGCTGGGTATATTCACATGCCTGTTCTGCAACTCATAGGAAATTGGAATTTTGTTTCTAATTTAAAATCTTACATTTAGCTCTGGGGGCAGCATGTGTCCGTTATTAGACCGAGTGCATTGTGGAGAATTAAACTAAATTGATGACTGCGGACGATGGATATATTTGAAATTTAAAAAAAATAATTTGTTATAATTGTGGCTCTTACATTTAACAAATAGTTCAGGATTGGGCATATTTGCTTCTCCCATATTCGAATGCCCAAGGGAAAACAGTGGAAGGGAGAATTACAGGTCATTTTTTAAAGTTTCAGATTTGTTGCTTTAAACCATAATTGTTCTCAGAACAGGTTTGGAATTTCTCATCTTTTTGGTCATTTTAAGAATGAGAGCCATGATGTTTTGATTTATAAAGGAAAGTTTAATGCAAAAGTGGGTAACTCTAAATCCATAGCCACGTTTTCTATTAAATTTTATAAATTTTTTAATAGCAAATTATGTCCTAATTGTATTTTGGGAAATTGAACAGCAGCAAATACTGTAGATGTAACAGTTTTCATCGTTTTTGTTGTTGCTGTTATGTATACAAAAGTTCAACTACTTTTTGGTGTTAATGAAAACGATTTAGTTGACGAGGTGCCTGTGTGCCATTGTTAAGTTTTCTTTAAATGTGTCTTGATGATAGATTTGCTAATTTAAAAAAAAAGAACCTGATAAAAACCTTCCCAGCGATTAGCGAAAGGTACGGAATCACAGTTAGTATCCTTTATTGAGTCCCTTTCCTCTGATTGCACTTCCAAGTGGTGCCATGGTGGTGAGGAGAATCCAGGCTGCCAGGAGTAGGGCAGTGGGACGCACCACAGCTTAATTTAAACTGTGAACACTAATACAAAGCTGGAGCCATCTGGAAAATGTTAACCTTTGTTGTCCTCATTGCCAGAGTAAAAAGAAACAATTTTGATGCTTACAATGCGATAAATATTAGGACATTAGTATTCCCATGATTTAATGAGGATGTTGAAATAAATTATGAAGTTTTCCAATTTTTACGTTTACTGGAGGGGTCCCTGCATTGTCAACCTGTTTATTTAAGTCTCTTACTCTTATTTTATGCGTAAATGTTACAGTTCCCAAAAACGAACTGTTAGCTTTCTTGTTTTTACTTTTTATTGAATTTAATACAAAATATGACCGGAGTAGTTACAAAGTATTTTGCATTATTTGCAGTAGGATGTCATTGGCCCAGCTCACAGGGCAAATTTTAAACATTCAATTTGGGTGAAAGTTCTAGTTTTTCAGAAAGATTTGCCATCTTAAACTCAAGCCGGTTTTTCTATTTTCATGTAAATGACTGGGATGCTATCTTACAAACTCTTCCAAGGTCATGTTTGTGAAATCAACATTACCTGAGAGCTTTCCTGTCATCTACACTATATATGTCGTCTGGAGTGTTGAGCAAATTTGCGTTCCTAAGTTGGACTTTATCTTCGTGTGGTATATACGGTTTTGAATGTGTGCCGCTACGTACTGAGATGATAATGCTGTACAATTTTAAACGGTAGCAGTTTCTGTATGGAGTAGGCTGAAATATTTTGATGAACTGCTTAATTTTTGGATTTTATTTTTTAAGTTGTATAATTTATTTTCTTGCAAAATAAAAGTGTAATATAAAAGCTTTCACCTATCCAGAAAATATTGATGTTCTACTGTTAGTTTTTAAGACTTAAATTTGTGTAATAAGTGTATTTATACATTTCATGGTGAAATAGTAAATCTTAGCCTTAGGAATCAGAAACATGAAAAGTTAACCCACTTATTTCTTTTAGATTTCAAATTTTAGTCCATAACGAAAGCTATCAGGAATGTCGCTTTTTCAGTGATGATAGCAGCCTAAGGTTATGATGCCTGGAAAAGATAAACTATTTCAGACCTGAAAGTGATTAATGCATCCTTTCACAGGTTAGATAAGCCATGTCATAACCACAATTTAAGTTTTATATCAGATAAAAACAAATATAAAATTTTTTTTGTGTGCAAATTTGTGAAATATTTAAGTTTCAAAGCTAGGGATAGTTTAGTAATAAGCTTATGAGGATGGACAGTGTCCTTCACAAAGTACCATAGCCTGGGTGGCTGATAAACCGCAGAAATCTGTTTCTCACAGTCCCAGAGGCTGGAAGTCAAGGGTGAAGAAGGTGTCGGTGTGGTTGGTTTGGGTGATGAACCTCTTGCACGGTGCAGCTGCTGACTTCTGGGTGTGTCCTCACATGGAGGAAAGAGGGCTGAGAGAACTCCCAGGGTCTCTTCCGTAAGGGCACTACGCTCATTCACGAAGGCCCTGCTTCCTGAGCTAGTCATCTCTCACAGCCAGCACCCCACCTGCGAATACCATCCCTTTGGGGATTAGGTTTCAATGTATGGTTTTGGGGGAGACACAGACCTTAAGTCTATTGTATTCATAGTGACCTTAAGCTCAGCTTGGGACTTGAGCAGGGATTGGGGTGGGGTGGGGAGTTGATAGAAAAGTATGGTCTCGGTGTAAGACTCACCTAAACCTAGAGATAGATTTACCATTAAACTTTCAGGGCCCCAGGAATTTTGTATCGGCATACCTCATTGCACTTCAGTTTATTACACTTTGCAGATGAGGGGTTTCGTTTTGTTTTTGTTTTACAAATTTAAGGTTTGTGACAACCTAGCTTCATTTTCCAATAGCATTTGCTCACATTGTGTCTGAATCACATTTTGGTAATTTTTGCAATATTTGAAACTTTAATTATATTTGTTATGGTGATCGGTGATCTTTGATGCTACTTATGTAATGGTTTCAGGTGCCCCAAACTGCACCCACACAAGGACGGTAAACTCAACCGATAAATGTGTGTGTGCAGACTCCTCCACCGACTGTGTCCCCATCTCCCTCTCCTCAGGCCTCCCTGTTCCCGAGACACAACAGTATTGAAATTGGACCAATTAATAACCCTACAGTGGCGTTTAAGTGTTCAAGTGAAAAGATGAGTCGCACATCTTTCACTTTAAATCAGAAGCTAGGACTAATTAAGCTTAGTGAGGTGTGTGTTGAAAGCGGAGATAGGCCGAAAGTGAGGCCTCTTGTGCCAAACAGCCAAGTTGTGAATGCAAAGAGGAAGTTCTTGAAGGAAATTAAAAGTGCTACTCCAGTGAACACACGAATGATAAAGCCAAACAGCCTTATTGCTGATACAGAGAAAGTTCTAGTGGTCTGGACAGAAGATCAAACCAGCCATAACTCCTTTAAGCCAAAGCCTGAACCAGGGCAAGGCCTTAACTCTCTTCAATTTCGTGAAAGCGGAGAGAGAAGAAGCTGCAGACTGAAGCTAGCAGAGGTCAAGTGCAAGGTACAGTAATGAGAGCTGATGTTCAAGCTGCAGCAAGTTCTCCAGAAGAATTAACGAAGGTGGCTCCACTTAACAGATTTTCAGTGTGGATGACCTGGCCTCCTACTGGAAGAAGGTGCCATCTAGGACTTTGCTAGAGAGAAGTCAACGCCTCAGAGCTTCAAAGGACAGGCTGACTCTTAGGGGCTCATGCAGCTGGTGACTAAGTTGAAGCCAATGCTCACGTACCATCCTGAAAACCCTAGGGCCCCTTAAGAATTACGCCGCATCTTCTGTCCATGCCCTACAGATGGAACACCAAAGCTTGGATGTGAGAAGAGTATGTATTGGCACAAAATTAGACACGTAAATAGAACAGGATAAAGAGCCCAGAAATAAACCTATGCGTGTACCATCAATCTGTGACAAGAGAGGCTTCCCCTACACAATGGGGAAGGGACAGTCTTTTCAACAAACGGTGTTGGCCAAACTGGGCCACTGTTTTTATTTTTAAGATTTATTTACTCATTTGAGGGGGGAGGGGCAGAGGGAGAGGGAGGATGTCAAGCAGACTCCCTGCAGAGCGCAGAGTCTGATGAAGGGCTCCATCCCACGACCCTGAGATCATGACCCTGAGCCGAAATCAAAAGTCAGGCGCTCAGCTGACCGAGCCACCCAGGCGCCCCCAAACTGGACCACTTCCTTAGGCCGTGCACAAAATTAAGTGGTTAAAGACCTAAATGTGAGACCTGAAACCATGAAACTTGGGGCGCCTGGGTGGCTCAGTCGTTAAGCGTCTGCCTTCAGCTCAGGTCATGATCCCAGGGTCCTGGGGTCGAGCCCGGCATCGGGCTCCGTGCTCAGTGGGAAGCCTGCTTCTCCTTCTCTGCCTCCCTCTGCTGCTGCTTCTGCTTGTGCTGTCTCTCAAATAAATAAACAAAATGTTAAAAAAAGAAGAGAGTCACACACTTGCTCCACTTAGGAACTAACTCAGTCTCCCAGGTCAGCAACCTTGATCGAATTCTCTACTGCTTCCCTCCCCACCGCACTTTATTAATTCTCTGTTTTATATCTACAATCTGACCTTTGTTTACCTTCACTTCCACTGTGTTTGCTGAGTGTTAAACATTTCATGGCATGTTTATACCATCCCAGGTAGCTGCTGGCTTGCTTCTTGGCCTACATTTTGAAGTGGACTATCTACATGTACAGAGTGGTAAGTAGTGGTCAGTGGGATTGTTTGCTTTAAATCTGTGACATTTGGGGGGGCACATGGGTGGCAAAGTCGGCTGAGCGTCCGACTCTTGGTTTCAGTTCAGGTCATGATCTCAGGGTGGTGAGATTGAGCCGCACTGGGCTCTGTGCTCAGTTCAGAGTCTGCTTGAGATTCTCGCCCTCTGTCTCTCCTGCTCATGCTCTCTCTCAAATAAATACCTCTTAAAATCTGTATCCATATCTATATATCTTTTTTTTTTTTTTAAGATTTATTTATTTTGACAGAGACAGCGAGAGAGAGAACACAAGCAGGGGGAGTGGGAGAGGGAGAAGCAGGCTTCCCGCCAAGCAGGGAGCCCGATGCGGGGCTCGATCCCAGGACCCTGGGATCATGACCTGAGCCGAAGGCAGACACTTAACGACTGAGCCATCCAGGCGCCCCCATATCTATATATCTTATATGGGTATATATATCTTGGGCCTCACACACACACACACACACATACCCAGAGCTTAAGCATGGATACATATCGTAATGATTTTTCTTTCAGTAGCTGTTGAAGCAATAGGTATGAAAAGGTTTTTACTTGGCCTGGAAGAGGCTCAGCAAGAGAGAAGGCATTGAGTGTGATATTCAAAGGAAGGAGGTAGGACTTGGTGACCTTGAATATAGAGGCTCTGGTAGGTGAAGGAATCAAGCACTACTTTAAGGGACAACCTGGGTGCCTGGGAAGTTAAAGATAGAGGTGCTGTGTTTATCTATTGCTTTGTTAAAACAAAGAAACAACCCCGAACATAACAAAAACAGCCATTTAATTTCTTTCATGGGTTCTGTGGATCATGAATTCAGGGCACAGAAGGGAGGGCTTATCTCTGCTCCATAATGACTGGGCTTTCAGCTGGAAGGGTTGAATGCTGGGGACTGGAATCATTTTAAGGCTTTTTATCCATATTTCTGCCTAGACCTAGCCTGGGAAGTCACACGACCTCATTTCTGCCATACTGCACTGGTCCCGGCAGTCTGGGTTCGGATTCCAGGGGAGGGAACACAAACCCCAGTCACATGGAAAGAAGAGCTTGTCAGTGGGGCTAATACAGGTGTGGCCATCTTTGAAAAATACCATCTCCCTCAGCTGTCAATAAAGCAATTTCAAACAAAACATAATGGTGGGAATTTTACTTGAGGAAAAATATGGGCTTGGGGCAAGTTGTATGCTGTCACTCCTTGTATCTTCTTTTTTAAAAAAAGATTTTATTTGAGAGAGAGAGAGAGAGAGTTGTATGCTGTCACTCCTTGTATCTTCTTTTTTAAAAAAAGATTTTATTTGAGAGAGAGAGAGAGCAGGCGCATGAGATGGGAGAGGGGCAGAGGCAGAGGGAGAAGCAGACTTCCTGCTGAGCAGAGAGCCTGACTCCCAGGACTCTGACATCATGACCTGAACTGAAGGCAGATGCTTCACTGACTGAGCCACCCAGGTACCCCACTCCTTGTATCTTCTATATGACAATAAAAGAAACTAATGTTAGAGGCAAAAAGATTTGTTGTCGCCAGGTGAAGATTTAAGGTTAAGTAATGGGTTCCCAAAATGTGAGGACAATCATCATAGCTGACATGTCCATGGTTCTCTGGGAAAAGGAACAGCAAAGTGATGCAATGTTGAGATAATCAGTTCTGACCCCAGCTTCACCACTTTGTGTGCAACTGTGACAAAAAAGTTAACTTCTTAGTATTTCATTCAGTTAGTTCCTTAGTTAAGGGGTGGATAAGAATAGCATGTAATACATGGAGTTTTTGTGAAGATTAAATATAATTTTTTTTTGGCAGCTCTGTCTGCCCACTGGTCCTGTCCCAGTGCTATAATAAAAACACCTTTTTGCACCGAAAAAATTATATATATAATTTTTTTTTTAAAGATTTATTTTAGAGAAGGAGAGAGCACGAGTGGGGGAGGGGCAGAGGGGAAGGGAGAGAGAATCCCAAGCAGAGTCCCTGCTGAGCATGGAGTCCAACTCTGGGCTTGATCTCACAATCCCGAGATCATGACCTGAGCTGAAATCGAGAGTACAACCCTTAACCAACTGAGCCACCCAGACTCCCCAAGATTAATATAATTCTTATTAATTGGGCACCTGGCTGGCTCAGTAGGTTGTGCATGCAACTCTTTTGTTGTTGTTTTTGTTTTTTAAAGATCTTAAGGGCACCTAAATATATTCCCTCTCTCACTGTCTCTCTCTCTGGGCACAAGCAGGTGGAGGGGCAGAGGCAGAGGGAGAAGCAGGCTCCCCGCTGAGCAGGGAGCCCCATGCGAGACTCGATCCCAGGACCCTAGGATCATGACCTGAGCCACCCCAGCATGCAACTCTTGATCTCTGGGTCTGAGTTCGAGCCCCATGTTGGGCATAGAGATTACTTAAAAGATAAATAAGTAAACCTAAATTAAACATTCTTATTAATTGCTCAGTAAAGTTAGCTATTAGCATGTATTCTATTCCTCCTCTTACTGAAATGTAGTTGCAAACGTATCTCATCATAAATTAAAAGATAATTGGGGGGGCGCCTGGCTCCCACCATTAAGCGTCTGCCTTCGGCTCAGGTCATGATTCTGGGGTCTTGGGATCGAATCCGGCCTCGGGCTCCCTGCTCAGCGGGGAGTCTGCTTCTCCCTCTGCCCCTCCCCCCCGTGTGTGTGCTCTCTCGCTCTGAAATAAATAAAACCTTTAAAAGCAAACAAAAAGCTAACTGGATTGCTCAATAACATTTGAATGAGCTGGGTGGGTCTGAGTGGGAGAAGCTAGCTCCACGAGCAGAAGACGCTCGGGTCAGGACACCTACACTTGCAGCGTGCCAAGGTCGGAGTGGCGGAAAGGGGACTGGCGGTCTGTCACGTGCCGGCCGGATTCCGCGCCAGCACCTCAGGCCGAGTCTGTACTGTGAGGCTCCGCCCCCGGCCGTCACGCCCCGTCCTGTCGGCCAATAGCCACGCACGCCGCCGCCGTCCGAGGCTGCTATTGGAGAGGGCGGGGTGGGCGGGGCAGCGGCGCGGGGACTTGGCTGCGCGCGTCCGTCGTCTCCGCCTGTCAAGTCTGTCTAGGCGCTCGGAGGTCATGGCTGTGCTGGTGGCCCTTCTGCGCGGCAGCGCACGCGGGCGCGGCCCCCTGCTCCAGAGGCCGCTGCAGGTGAGGGCGGCTGGGACCCGGGCCGCGGCGTGCCGGCACCCCTGCCTGG